GAGACCTAAAGCTAAATGTACCACTTTTAAGCAGCCGAAAATTATAACTTGAGCAAAAGTATTATTATACCATCTAGCTAGTATTCCTTCGTTATTGACTTAATAATTTTATTAGTCAAGACTCAAGATTAATGTATTCATCATGTTGTAATAGTTAAGCAAAATTAACACGGATTGCTAGTTTTCGGAATATTTCAAACACCACAGTAAAAATATGTTTTAGCGAATCAATACCCTTTATGTCATTCATTTCTATAAATAGTTGGTCCATAATACTTGTCATTTCATAAAATTAATGCATAAATTATCATATTGTTCCTTTTTTACCCTCGTGAGTGATTAGCCTTGAAAATATACATTTGATCAACTTAGAAAAGCTAAGTAAACATGATTATCGGTTAAATAAATTAATTCATATTCATTGATTGAAAACTTGAGTTTTAAAAAAATTAAATAAGGGTAGAATAGTAAACTTACTTAGTTTCTTAATGCACGTGAAATCCAAAATGGTGACATATAAATAGAAACAGAGGGAGTATATACACATTAATAAAGAGCGTTAAAGTCTTTATCGACATGAGTTAATTGTTTTTGAATCTAATATCATTATAGGCTTCATCAATATTACAAAAGAGTGATAACATATACTCTCTATGTCCCTAGTTACTTGTCCACTTTTGAATTTACACACATATTAAAAAAACAATTATTGACATAGTGAGTTACCATTTTACCCCTATTAATTATGAAGTTGATGAATTTAAAACTTAAAATTTTCAAGAAATTCTACATTTTTCAAAGTAATTAATTAAAGGTATAATAGGTAAAAAAAATTGTTTTTTCTTGATTTATCAAAATGGACAAGTAATTGGGGGCAACTAAAAAATGAAAAATGGACAAGTAATTATGGACATATAGAGTACTATTTTGGGATATCCATCAATACTTGTCCACGTTATGAAATCAATGGATAATTTTGCATTTAGTTCCTAATTTACCATTTTATCAGTAATTATAGTCATTCCCTTATTATATTTTCAAAACATTGTATTTATTATATTAAAAAAGTGATGTAGTAAAATTATCCTTATATTTATAATTTCTTAAAAAGTGTATAAACTCAATACTCTGTAGACAGCTACTGTTGGATAGAGAAAGTACTTAACAACAATTAAGTTATTACCATTAATTAATTATTGCAAAAATCAACGTGAGAGAACTTGCTGGAACTTTGAACGGTGACCGTTCAAATTCAAGAATATCATGAGTAAAATAATAGAGTAAATAAATCGTTTAACAGAAAATAATTAGAATAGACTAAATAATATATATATATATATATATATATAGTGAAAAAAAACATTTCACAAACTGTTGTCTATATTCCAAAAAAAACAAAAAAACTTAGTAGTAGTGACAGACAGCATTGCAATAATTGATGGGCTGTGAAAAAATTACAAAAAAAGTGTGGGGTCTCAAGAGAAGTCGAGATTCCATAGGAATCCAATAAAAACGTGGAATTGTCGGCTATTTCTTAGTCGCATCGTTTCGCCGCATATCTAACGGCGGTGCTCCACCATTAAATGCGACGGCCCCCCACCATTTGTCTTCACTCTCTACCCGACCAAATGACAAAAATATCCTTGTGCATCGAGAAATTACTTGATACGCGAGATAAGATGATATGAGAAAATAATAGCTTATGGGTTTAAAATGTGTCATGAAATTAGTTATTATTTTATTTTTTATAAAAATTAATTAATTTCATTACTTTATGTAAAATATCTAAATATACAAAAATAAGTAGAAATTTCACCTCAAGAAACTATAGATTAAGGGGTTGTTTAATTAGATAGGATGAATAAGAAAAGAATAGCATATGGTTAAGATGTTTCATAAAATTAGCTATTATCCTATTTTTTTTAGACGAAATAATTAATTTCATTATATTTACATAAAAAATACCTGAATTAATTTTTATAAAAAAAAATGAGTAGAAATTACACCTCAAGAAGCTATACCAAGTACTAAAAATAGATAACAAAATAGATTTTTTTTTGAAAATTACACCTCCAAATACGAACTCTTGTTAAATCTAACAAACGATTTTTTTTAAAAAATTTGATGGAGACCAAAGATGCCCCTTTTAATAAAGTTAATTAAAGGACCAATATTGCTCGAGAGTATATTTAAGGAACATATTAAACCTATCCACAAACATAATGGACCGTTTTGTCATTTTCTCCTTTTGTTTACATCAAATACGTTTAGTAAGAGAAATAAATTTATTTATTTTAATAAAAATGATAATGTATGAAAACTTTTTTTTGTTTGAAAGACGTTTGTACTGGTTCAAACGCAAATACTCCTAAAATTCTTCCCGCAAAACGTCTATGGATTCATTTGAACTTTTTTTTTTTTTATATATATATAGTAGATATTGAACTCTCAATAACTTTTTCGGACTAACTATTTAATTTTTTGAACCTCATTAATGAAAATTCTTACACCGTTTGTATCTACCATTCAAGCATCCCAAAAGAAGGGATAAAATCAAAAAAGAAAACTATAGACTACAGTATGCTCCAATTGATCCTGGAAAAAGGAAGAGGGTTTCGATTCAATTTTGAATGATATATAAGATTACAAAAACATATTATTGAAGCGTAATCTCTCTAATTAACAAACCTCTAAACTTTAGTTTATGAAATTATAAAAAAATAGTGATGAATGTGAATATTCATAGGGACAAAATAAGTAAACCTAATGTGATGAAAAATGGAGTGTTCAACACTATTGTCCTTCAATTTAAGTCACGCCACTCATCATTTCATCACCTATTTGGGCTTTTTCATTCATGCCACACCACACATGCACCTCTTACTAAATTTAGAATTTGTAATTATTAAAATAAAAAACTCGATGCTCCTATGACAAAATATTTCTTTAATTTATAATTAATCTTTTGTTTTTCAGTTAGTACTTAAATAAATAAAAAATATTCTTTCCTCTTTTTGCATCACATGCTTATTTGAATCATATTATTGCTGCATGCAAACCAGTAGTTTTCCAGCATCATGATTCCTTTCTTGGTCAAATGCAAAATACTTTAAGCCAACACATTAAATTTTTTTTATTGATTGTGATATTTTTCCCATCTATCTTAGTTAGTTTGAAAGTTTTCGAAGATTTGAGCAAATGTTTAGAGTTAAATTGGAGTAGATAATCTTTTTTAGATTACAATGTAGCTATTCGGAGACTATAATTCCAAAAGCCCAAAGGCCAACAAGACCTAACGAGTTGTTTGGTTGAATTCAAGTTATAATGAAATTAGTTATGCTAAGATTATTTTTTATCGAATGTTTGGTTTGTTGTATTCAAATTATAAATTTTAAGAACAATTTATTTGTTTACAAAAATACTGAAAAGTGAGGTATAAAAAGGGTTTAAAGGGATATTTTTGTCATTTACTTATTTTATCACAAGATAAGTTATCCCGAGATTACTATACCACTTGTTGAGTAATTATTAATCCTGAGATAAGTTCTCCCAGACTTGTCAACCAAACAACAAAAATTAAGTGGCACTATAATTTAATCCCAAAATTATTTGGTGTAATCCTTCACGCCAAGCGACCTGTAAGAGTATTGACTACATTCTTTCTCATGCTCGAGTTCTTAAAAGTACTTAAATTAAGGTACAATGAATTCAATCGTAAAAAAGCGTATATCATTTATTTAAAAAAAGAAGAAGAAATAAAAGTGTATTTTGTGACTAATTAAACATCTTTTTGATTATATTCAATTTATATTTTGGCCCTTTTTGAAAAGAGTAAAAGGCCGCTATGGAAAAATACATGTGAATTCGAGGTGATTTGGTATCAATCGGGTAAGGTTAAGGGAAGAAAAAGAAAGAGCTAAGTGAAAAATAATTAGTAAAGATAACAATATTTGTTAGGTTTAACACCCATTTCGGGAGATTTGAATGGTCTCAATTTATTTGTCTTCCTTTCTTTTGTAATTCGTGTTAACAAGAATGTCTCTTAATGGAAGATATTTAGGCTAAATACGTGTTGTTGAATTCCTCAGGTTAGCTTGACAGGAAAGATAATTATCAAACAGCTATACCTGAAGTTGATAGGAGATCAGCCAAATTACCATACAAATGACAGGAATAAAGCTAGTTTTACTTAGTGACTATTAATGCACTACTTTGTGCTGGCTGATAGGATATCTCAAAATGGGGAATGGAAATGAATCCAGAAATCATTTGGTAATAGAATGCTCCTATACCAGGAATCTATGGAAAAAAAGACCATCCTAGCATTTGGAATGGTTATCTCCAGTGAATCATCAAGAATGCTAAAGGCAAAACTGCAGATGACCTTCAACATGATGTATACAAAAGCAGCTATCTACGCCTTATGGACAGAAAGGAATCAAAGAGTCATCACCAAGAAAAACAGGGAATGGGGTACTTAGCAAAAAATTATTGTATCTTGTTTGGTTGCCATGTATGGGATAAGTTATCCCACCATTTATATCATAGTAATGGGATAAGTTATCCCTTATACATGGCGGGGTAAGTTATCCCAGGATAACTAATCTTGGGATAACTTGTTCCCAACCAAACGAAACTAGTCTAGTCCTACATAAGCTTATGTACTAGTTGGTAGAGATTGAAACTTACCTTGTAGAAATCTAGCAGTGATTGCTAAGATATGGCTTTGTAATGTTTTCACTTAGTGATTTATAGAATACAGTCAGTTACCAAAAAAAAAAAGGATATAACAATTTTGTTTTTTCATTGTTCCAATTTTATCAGAGTCCGGGGAGGGACAACTATTTTGTTTTCTTCAAATTTTTTTCTTTTTTTGCGTTGGCAGAAGGGGATGCTTCATACCAAGTAGTATTTTGCTACCATTCAAGATCATATATTCCTATACTATGGCTGAATAAGTATACCTAAAAGCCATAGAAACTAAGACAGAAGCAGCAACCACTAACAGGGCCAGATAGAAGATAAATTACCCTCATTGCCAATTGCAAGCAAGCCACAATATCAGTCTTCTCTTTTGATAAAATGAGCAGTCAATAGCTTTGTAACTGTGAAGCCATGGAAGGAATCAACTTGAAATAGTTCTTTTAACCTTTCATCGCAGATGATTGTCTTCTTATCAGATGGATCCTGGAAAGAAACAAGCACACCGTCAAATCCTGAGATTGGTGATTTAACATGCCTAGCATGCAACCAATAGATAATTGCTAAGGGATGCCATTTTCTCCAGTAAATTCCTTTCCAATAACGATCAATACCCTTTTAATTCATGACATATGTCCAAGAAATATTCATGCCTCGTAAAGAAGTTATCAGATGGAGCTCTTTATTTTTGAAGGAAGATGATATTAATTATACACAAACACATACATATACCATATAGCAGTACTGCTCTCAAATAATTAAAGATATAGGAGGTTTAAAATATTCTTTCCCGGAAAAGGAAGGAACTAAAAAGAAAAGAGGTAAGATAAGTTGGATAATTAAACATGAATGCCAACTTTTTTATAAAAAAGGAATATGCTAACTGAATGAGTATTAAAACCAAAACAAGAACTAAAGATAGTGAAGGATGTCAACAGAAAATGGAACAAACCTGCAGCTCATTTTCTTTTATATATTGCCATATTCGCTTAATAACATCAGCTCGCGGCAATGCATTTTCACCAATACCTAAGAATTTCACAAGAGCATCTGATAATTGAACTGGAGCAAGAAAACCAGATCCTCCACCTTTCTGCCTTTTCTCTTTCTGCTTTGGCTCATCTAAAGCTGGTTAATTGAGAGTTGTAGATTTGACTTAGCAAAAATGATGGAAATGTCATTAGTTGGAGAAAAGCTGAAGCAAAAGCTTCACCATACTGCAAGCAACCTATAAAGAGCGGAAAGCATTTCGAAATCGAAGCCTATTACTTTCTGCACTTCAAGCAATTTATTCTCACCTTCTACTCTGCCTTTTTTCGGTAGCCTTCTCTTCACAGAAGTTTTGACTTGAGTGCCTGCATGAGTCAAACAAAAGTATCCTAAATACACAAGATTTCACAAGCACTTCCACTAAGTTGAGTTCTGAGTCTTATAGATATGATAGGTGAAGCGCCACAAGCAACTCTGAAGTCACTACCAAGCAGAGATTTTAATCTAGACAGGCTGATATGCACAACAACAACAACATACCCAGTGTAGTCCCACAAAGTGGATCTGGGAGGGTAGAGTGTACGCAGACGATACCTCTACCTCAGAGTTAGAGAGGTTGTTTTGGATAGACCCTCGGCTCAAGACGAAAACAGTCCATAAAAGAAAAGTAATAGAAGTACAAGAAGCAACAGAGAGCAGATAGTAGCATACCAATACTACAAAATAATACAATAATCAAACTACATGAAAGAGTAGATAGTAATAGAAATGGAAGAACAAGAAACTACAAGAGTAATATTACGACTACTAGTATGTACAACAAGACTATACCTACTAGTATGGATGTGATCCTAAGTCCTACCAAATACCCCCTTCTACCCTAATCTGTATCCTACACACCTTACTATATAAGACCATTTCCTCGGGAAGCTGCACTTGCCCCATGTCATGTCTACTCACGTCTCCTAATATTTCTTAAGTATACTGCTAGTGCTACCTCTCTTGAATCCATCCATAGCCAACCTCCACACTGGGGCATCCGTGTATCTCCTCTTCACATGCTGCTATGAGTACTGCTGAAACCCCTTAATTTAACCCCGTAATGGTGTGATGCCAAATAATTATACAATAAATCAGGAAAGTAAGAAACTATTGATTCGAGAACCAAAAAACAACTGACCATAGGCACAGTGCTCTTCTACAATCATTTAGGTACCTAACAGCAATATTCCGAACAACTATAGCAATACCATGATGATGCAAAATGGCACATATTACAAAAAATTCCACAATGAAATCGTCAAAAGGAAAGTAAAAATACCATTTTCCTCATTTAAGGGCCAAATGTGCTTGGATAGCACCTTGTTCATCTGGAACATGTCTATACTTTTGACCTGAAAAATTCCACTCAAAACTTCATCACATAAAATTTTCCGCTTGTTCTCTGGGTTTTGTAAATTCTTTTCCCGGATATAGGCCCAAATCTTCTTGACGACCTACTAACAAAAAGACATCACCAAAAAGCATCCTGGAAATTAGATCGAAGACAGAGTAAGGATCATAACAAAGACATGTCATAGAAGTAATGCATCACCTCTGGTCTGCCAAGTTCTGGCTCGCCAACCAATTTCTGAAGCTGTGGAGAAAGTGCACATGGTTTGTTAAATCCCCCTTTTTTCTTTGCTTCTCCATTCATTTTCTCAGACCTACTTAATAATATTTGAAAACAATTCAACATGAACAACATCAGAAAAAGCACTATTACAAGTGGATGATCAAAATTACGCCACATAAGCTCTCTCGCTGCTCATATTGTAGCTTTGCTACATGTAATTGCTGATACTTGTGAGAATTATCAGTAAACAATAGCACTTAGATTATGTATTAGCATACAAATTCTTGCCTTCAATTACTTTTTTCTTGCACTTCTATCTACAGAATGTCTGCCAACAACATGATTAGATAGCACTGAACAATTTATTGACACAAAATCAAAAATTGAATCAATGCAATCAGATGGATTACTGATCAATCAATCAACTACGCTACAATCCCAAACTAGTTGGGTTCGGTTATATGATTATATTGTATTGATCATCTATATACAATACCCTTATACCCATTTTATTCCATTAAGAGATAATTTATCTTCCAAGGTAAATTAGGGGTTTGCAAAACTAGAGATTCTTTCACTTTAGTACTTTCCTGGCAATGCCGAACCTAAGTGTAACAACATCAATTAAGTATTAATCTCAAACTTTAATAATTTGGGATTAAAGTTTATCAAGAAATCATACCGTGCTTTCTTCTTTGACCTTGTGGCACTCTTATCCTCACCCACCTCTTCTTCTTGGGAGCAAGAATCACCATTTTCATCTTCCTTCACTTGTTCTTCCTCTTGTTCTTCTTGGGAGCAAGAATCATCATTTTCACCTTCCTTCCCATTCTCTGCTTCGTGTACGTCGTTCTTTGGAGTTTCTTCAACCTGAATTCGAAGGAAAAGGTCGATTTGATCCCTGATAAATGCTTTCCTGTCAAGTAAATCGACCCCAAGTTCCTCCTCAAGCCTCCGACGAACGGTGCCGGCGGTGGCAATTTCAAGGTCGGAAACTCGGAGTATTTCCCGGAGCCGGTCAACCAACACGGAATCCGACACCATTCTTGGGTAAAATGGAAAAAGAACAAAGTAAAGTAAACCTAACTTCGTAAGAGAAACAGAGTAAAGAAAAGGAAAAAAAAACTCTTACCAACTGTCTAACAAGGAAAATATAAGTACTCTGTTAATTCTTTTCTCTTTTATTCTTTAAATTTAAAAAAATTAATTAAATTACCAATTGGCGACCTCACAATTTCTATTTCCGAAATGGAAAAGTTGAGAATCTATATACCCACAAAGATTGAGAACTCAATTGGTAAAATATATGTAATTATGGAAGGTTGAATTTTTTTAAATTATTTTATTGAGGGTAAATTTATAGCGTTCTAACTCATAAAATATAATTTTAAAATTTATGAATATTCAAAAATTATTATAATTATCATATTTATAAAAGTGCATAACATTATAAATTCTGTATTTTTGTTATAAGATCGGATATATTTGAATTTGTGTTGTTGGTGGGCAAATGCCAAGCCCAATTTAGACTCCTCAAATTACTATAGTCTATAGTTTATTTGATTGTCATCTACATTCTTTAAAAAAAAATTGTGAAACTAAAAAATTAACATGTCTAATAAGTTGGAAGATAATTAAAGACAAAATAAATCATAACTATCTTGGAAAAAATATGTATGAAATTAGTGTTTATCTCCTTTCTGTTTTTATGCAACATAAAAAAAATCAAAATTACTCACTTGTCTTAAAGAAAAATACTCTTTATGTATCATTTTTAAATATTTTAATATATAGTTATTTTTTGTGTGTGCAAACAAAAAATTTGACTTATAGATCAATTTATTGAAGACTATATTAACATTTTTCTTGTATAGAATGTAAGATAGATTTGTTGGAGTGTATGTATGACGAGTAACTCGTTTACTTTAACAAGACAAAATTATATCAAGACTTTTTAAGTCTTTCTTCCTCAATTTACTTCTAAACTCAATAAAGTTACTTATATCGATTGACAAGAGATCAACATGTATTTTGGATAAATAAATTATTTTGTTGAGTCTTCTCCATCTTTTAAAAAGTATTGTGGAACACTACAAAATTAATATGCTTAACAAGTTAGAAGACAATTAAAAACAAACATAAGAGTTAGTGCTCATTTTCTCTTCATTTTTATACAACAGATACATGAGTCTAAGAACCGCTGACTTGCTTTTTAGATAAGATTTTTCTTTTTCTATGTGTTGACATTCCGTGAGAGGGAGCAACGTGACTCATCAAAAAATAAATAACGGTTTAAAGAATGCAAGAATTTTAAAAAAGGGTAAAATGGAGTTTAAAGGGAGCTGCCACCTAATTTTAGGATAAACTAGGAAATCAATTAATTAATTAACATAAAAAAAAATGTCTACGAAACTAATAGATTCTAGGTAAGGGGTTCAAGTTATTCCAAAGAGAAGGTGTTAGACATCCTTCGAAATCCACAATTGTGGGTCCCGACTAAATTCATTTTTTTCAAATTGAGAAGGAGATAAAAACAAATATACAAGTATAATAAACATGTGATATACACAAGTAATAAAATAAAACAATAACATAAGAAACGACTTGAAGTTTGCCTAACATCGATATATACAAAATTATGAATAAAGAATATAATTCGAACTTCATTCGAATAGTTTCAATGGGAAGCAACTCCGTGCACCTGTAAACAGTGGCAGATTCAGGATTTAGAGTCTGTGGGTGCCAAATAAACTTATCGATTAAATTAATTTTATATTTGATTAAATTATTCGTCTTTTCGATATATATCATAAATCAATCAATAAAATATAAATAATAAGATATTACAAATCCACACTCCACACTAAAAGCATGAAGTTAACAAATTTAAAACTTTCAATAATAGTACTATTTACTAATATTATAAATATTCATCATTCATTTACAATTGTCCTCGACGAGTTTTCATATTATGAAAACGATCGATAATGACATCATTACTAACATTTATAAATACATCACGCTCTATGTAACACACTAGACAATTATTTAAATACTGATTACCAATACTATTCCGCACTTCATTTTTTAAGTGCTTCATTGACAAAAATGTTCTCTCCACATTGTCGTAGCAACAGGTAAAATCAAAGTCAACTTTACAAGTAAATAAACAAGTGAATAAGTCTCTGCAAGATTGCTTCAACCAATGCCTTCGCCAAATCACGAATTCCTTGCAAGTTGGAGAACTTGGGATTACCACTTTGCATATGAATAATGAAAGTATCGAGTTGATAGCTCAAATCTCAAATTTTTCCATTATCAAACTCACTTGGATAACACTTTGCTAAAGTCATGATTTTACCTTTGTCAAAATTAGAGAAATAATTGACCGGATTCAAGCTACCCATCCCAAGAAGCAAATCACTACTCACTCCATCAAAACGGTCATTAAACTCTTGAAGTTGCACATCAATGACAGCAAAAAAGACTTCAACACGCAAGTGGTGCGCATAACTAACACCCGAAGACTTACGTTTTGACTTTTCGGGAAAATAAGACTCATTCAACTTGGGAATCAAGATATTATGCACATCACAAAATGAGAAACATCATCTAACAAAGATTCCCATCCATTTTCCCTCATATCTTGTAATTTTTTCTTTGTAATATTAAGAAACTCCACGGCATTAACAGTATCTTGATCTTTTTTTTTGTAAAATCTTACTCAACTCATTTGACATTGCCAACACTTTTCAGCATCAAGTGAAGCACAAAAATAAATTTAAATGTTTTAATCTTTGTCAAAAGATACTCTGCTTGATTTCTATCGCTTGATGTGGACCATTCAAGTTTAATCACTTCAACAACATGAACAATAGATGAGAAAATAACAATAAAGTTATCTAAAGTTTTGAAATGTGATCCCCAACGAGTATCACCTGGTCTTTGAAGCCCATGTTCTTGATGTAATCCTTGGCCTTTTTGAACTTCATCGGATTCAAATAATTGCTCTAACTTTTTGGCTTGGTGATCACGAAGTAAGTCTCTACGCTTGAAAGATCCTCCAACAACATTCAACACATTACTAACATGATCAAAAAAGTCATCAACATTCAAATGTTTTTTAGCAATAGTCACTAGTGTTAGTTGCAATTGATGAGCAAAACAATGAATGTGATATGCCGATGGACTATCTTTCATAATCAAAGTTTTGAGCCCATTTAACTCTATTTTCATATTACTTGAAACGACCCCAAAAATGCTCGAAAATGTGCTTCGGAAACACCTATAATTGTAATTTTCATATATCTCAAAATCCGTGCATGATTTCGGAAATTCGACTTCATATTATTATTCAGGGGGTGAAATTGAGTGGGAAATGGGTCTAACCCAAATTTTAGAACAATCGTATCAAAATTCGAAAATCGCAAAAAATGCGATTTTCAGGGTCAACTTTAAAGGGGCATATCTCTTAGCACACAAGGAACTGGAAGGGCCGCTACCTATTAAATTAAAGCCCTTCGAGTTAGCTTTCCAATGCAATTGGTTTCACCTCATTCCGAGTTAGGATGAAGGAGTTATGATCATTTTCGTAAAATCTGTCCGGGCAGAATCGCAATTTCCAGTGAGCTACGTTACTGTAGCGGCTGGGACGTTTTTCTTTTATAAAAAAGAGGATTGTCCCATACTTAGTTATATTTCTTTCTAGCTTCAAAACACTCAAAAACACTCGCTAATCCCTCTCCAAAATTCCACCAAGATCTTCAACCAAATTCAAACATCTCAAGTTTTAATTCCGGATTCAAGACTCAATCTCAAGCATCAATTCTCCATTCCAATCCTCATCAAGGATTCTCTAAAGTTGAGGTATGTGGGTTGATTGTGGAAACCTTCCTTTCCACAAGTCCAAACATTTATCCTCTATTTTACTTCAAGTTTATGGGTCCTTATGATCATTTATGAACTCTTGAATTATGGAATTACTACTACACATTCTATTATGGTCTATTTTTGCATATTATCATGAAATAGAATTATTATGTGATGTTTATGGTTTTCATGCTTCCATGATTAAATTATGAAGGTTGATATATATGTATGTTGTTGGTGGGCTGATTTATATGTATTTCGGAATTGATTGGACTTAGTACTCTTGAAAGACATGATTTTATCTACATGAACAATAGCCTACCATGTGTTTGATAAAATGTCATTTATAGAATTCATAGGAAATGGAAGGTCCAATATACATCCTATGAGTCGGATGATTATATAATTATTGAAATGATGATGAAAGGGATACATGTATATGATTTTCTCTATATAAGTGTTGTGAGTCGACCAAGCCTAGCTCGGGGGGTTGTAGGCCCGGGTAACCGTATCAAGGGGTTGGTACCTTGGTTGCCTAGTACGGGGGGTAGTAGGCCCGTATAACCATATCGAGGGGTTTGTACCTTGGTCCCTAGCTCGGGGGGTGGTAGGCCCGGGTAACCACATTGAGGGGTTTGTACCTCTTTCGCCTCTCCAAGGGGGTGGTAGGCCTTGGAAAATACTATATTGATGGTCACTCACCACACATGTACTACGTCCCACTAAAAATGATTTTTATGTAAGCATCATTATACATATCATTTCTCTAATATGCTATCTATCGGGTATGATTATGCATTTTTCCTATGATGTCCGTCTATTGTAGCGTTGCATTGCATCCCATATACTAAGTACATTCAAACGTACTAATGCATACTCTATGCCTACATGATGTCACCATGTAGGGACCGGAGCACCGCTTGACCATCCTCCTCCGCGTGGCTAATACAATTTCCTATCAAGGTTATTGGTGAGTCCTCCATTTTGGGGACGTTGCTCATGATCTTTTGCTATGTATAAGACTGTTTCTTTTTAGTTATGTTTTGACTATGAGGGTGAGCCCGGTAGTTTGTCTTGGCCCCCGCTAAGTACTCATGTTTAGAGATGGTGTTGGACAAGTTGTGTATTATGCTTGAGCTTGACTCATCTATGGTATTTATGTATTATTTCTTCTTCTTTTTCTCTTGCTCCCTTAGTCCCAATTTCCCCCTTTGATTATGCTTATTGCTTATGGTCATTTTAATTGCTTCCGCGACCA